TCGAAAGTTATGAAGACTTTTTATAACTTTATTTTTAGCGCATTTTAACATTGTGCATTAACAAACTAAGACCATAATCTCAAAATAGTGCTAGATAAAGATAAGTATACACCACCATTCATTGTTGACATATTTTCACTTGGTTATGACGGATGTAGTTTTTTCAGCCGCCATCTTGGATCCACCATTTTGAAATGTGATCATTTAATTTAAATACGAAGGTGGTGTTGTGACCTATCATTTTGAACTACTTTTTTATGCTGGACTCAATGCCGCAATCCGTTTTTGGTTATCAAGCTTTCTTGATGAAATATTAAAATACTCTTTATTAAAAAGTTCAATATTTCAAAATCCAAAGATGCAAATGAAAAACGGATTGCAGCATTGAGTTCAGCATATAAAAGTAGCTCAAAATGATGGGTCACAACACCACCTTCATATTTAAATTAAATGATCACATTTCAAAATGGCGGATCCAAGATGGCGGCTGAAAAAGCTACATCCGTCATAACCAAGTGAAAATATGTCGACAATGAATGGTGGTGTATACTTATTTTTATCTAGCTCTATTTTGAGATTATGGTCTTAGTTTGTTAATGCACAATGTTAAAATGCGCTAAAAATAAAGTTATAAAAAGTCCTCATAACTTTAGAACGGATCAAGATTTTTAAAAACTAATTGCGGCATTGTAATCAGCGTACAATTCTAGTTTGGAATAATGGGTCACAACCCTACCTTTACATTTGAAAAAAAAACTTTGTATCCAATATGGCGGATCCAAGATGGCGGCCAAAAATTTATACCCAGTCAAAATGAAGTACTTACTACTTAACAATGATCTGACGTGGTCCAGAGATGTAACAAGTAATTGTAACAGCAATGTAATTGTGATGTCTCAAGAAATGTAGAAAAAAGTAGGGGGGGAACTCATTTAAAATTCACCCTGTATATGAGTTTAAACGGAGTGTGTTTTGGCCTCTGGGGCCATAAAGGAAAAAGTAAATCGGTCCCGGGTCTAGGTCTCACCATGAGACCTATGGTAATAGCTTATTCCCTGTATGGGAAATTTGCTAAAATAAAAATTCCCACGGTATTTTTTTATTTTATACTAAGCTATTAAGTATTTTACTAAAAATTACACTTTATTACTCTCCATGTATTAGCAAACCTAAGTAATCGTCAAACCTTATGTTACCTATTTAAATAGATTAAGTGAAATTTAAATAAGGCAAATTGAATTTCGCTTAGTCTGCAGGTTTGCTGAGTTGGAGGTATTTTTTAGACCCAATTCATGATGTACTGAATGTTTAAGATAAAAGAGTCCCATATTTTAAAACAAAACAATACTTCCATCGATGTAAAACTTTGAAATTGGGGACCCTCTTTAAGATTTTAAAGTTAAATTCCATAAAAACAAGCAACCAATTAAAATTTACACTACATTGCATTAAAATCCAAGTTCAATAGCACTTAGAATGTAAAAAAGGGTCACACTTTAAGTTTAAAGATTGGTTTTAACTAACTTACAGCATAGCAGAGTCCATGATTACAAGTGCTGTATTGTGTACTGAATTCTTTGAGTATAGGTAACTGATTTGTATGTCAAGTAACAGTCTAATGAACACCAACAAGCTTTAAGATTTCTGCAGGAATGCCATCAGCTAAACATGTTGAACAAGATCAACATGTTTCACTAGATCAAATATAATCATCTTGAAATTGCAAATATTAACATTTTGGGCCATAGGGCCCAGGTTATTTTTAAGATGAATCTTTTACACTTAGCTTAGTTGAGTTTCGCTAGGTTTAGTTCATGGTAATAACTATAAAAATAGTTATAAAAAAAACTAAGAAGTATTGATTGTGTGGCAGTGGTTTAGGGTTGAATATAGCCGTCTGTATAGTTGTTACTTTTTTACAATGTAAAGTAAGATTGTAGTCACCAGGTGCTCTTCCATTTCTCAGGGATCAGACAACGAAGGATAGTTCCTCTTCCCGAAAAGCTGGTAATGCGCCCTAATCTCCAAATTCCCTTGCTGGTCACGGTGGGTGCTTTGGAAATAACACTTCAATGACAGTAGCCACGGCGACAGGCTCCATGATCCATGACCGTAGGGGGTGATCAAGTCACTAGCTTTTGGGTTACAATCTTGTAGCCTATCACCCAAGGATTATTCTGGATGTCCTGATACAGTTGCTTCCAGCACCTGATGTTACTCCGGTTGATATCACCATGGTCATCTCGCATGGGGGCCTTGAGCTCTGCCGATCTAGCATTACCTTCAGGCCGGTTTCTGGCATGCTGCGCTGCTCGTCAGAGCCCTAGGCACATTCTCTGGGGTCCTGCAATCTTGGGTTTCCACCAGTACAGTGGCTTCTTTCTGCGGTGGGCGAAAGTCCTAGGCATGGAACAGTCAAATGCCGAAGATGGTGGGACGCATCTTCAATGTGGCTTGAAATTCGGCACTTCTAATGTCCCCAACAGTTTGATTTTTGATGTAACCCTGAAAAGTGGCCTGGCAAAGACGACTGAGGTCCCAACATTGAGACGGATGAGCTGAATTGGCATATGGATACCCAACTCAGGAAAGCTCGGGAAGTTCCCTGAAGACGATTGCCTGATAAGTCCCTTGCAGAGTAGTCCTTGGAGACTCACCAGTCCGTGACTGGTGGGCTAGGTCTTCAGATGCCAGAGAGATGTTAGGGATCATCTTTCCTTGCCAGGGGTGACAGATGATGAAAATGTCACCTGTATTAAGGATATATGAAGGTAGCCTGGCTGCCATCTCTACAACATACTGACCCTCTTTGTTTGTTTGGGGTAAACCCCATTCCACCGCCCTAGCATTGAAATCCCTTCAAACAGCCACCTCACCAACACCATCGATTTTTAAGATCTCGTCCTCCAGAGAGTTGACCATCTGACAGTACTCTGCAATGTGCTGGTTGGGTGTGAAGTAGCAGGAGAAAAAAATACTTGATACAAAATATTTACTCCTGCATAATAATTTTGCATTTAAAACTATCTTACGATATGGTAAAGTAAAGTGGTAGGGCTACAGTAGTAACGAATGCGTAAATACAGTGTTAACGTCACGAGTAGAAAATTTAAGGTACGGCCCTTGGCGAGGGCTTTAAAAACTTCTACGAGTGTCGTTAACACTATTTACGCGAGTTGCGTACACCACTTTACCTACGACAGTGTTATAATTACTTAAAATCACTACTCATAACTTCTAAGAAGAGAGGTTATGTTTTCGTTTATAGTATCATAGCCACTGAAAATTATGGAACGAAACATTGTACCAAACTCTGATTGTTAAGCACCACTCGACAATTAAATTAGCCGATTAGTTCGAATCATTACAATTTTAATTCCTCTATCTCAATAGTTGAAGGAATGGTCATGGTCATGGTGGAAGGAAAATACAAAGGTGTACTATTCCCGTAATTTGCTGTTGAAGTCACAGTCACCAAGATTGCAAACACCATTTCACCATTTAGAACAAAAATATATAAACAATAACAATCAAATCAAAAACAAATATATATATTTAAATATGGCAATACTGTACAATCAGGTGATTTTTCGTTTGCAATCTGGGTGACGTCAGAATATGACGGGAATAGCACACCTATGTATTTTCCTTCCACCATGACTTGAACCTCATTGGTCCGTTACCTGTGTTATGATAAAACTATGATGTTATGAGAAACTTTTAAATTCTAACAACTGAACTGAAACGGCTATTTTAATAAACGGTCGTAGGTAAATGTATTAAAATGTGAATCCAAATATATAAAGTTTTAAAACTGTTTCGGGTAAACATTTGTTTGATCATTCACACAACAAATTCAACAGTATCTGATGGTTCAAAAATAGTGTTTCCTCCCATGCAACACCTAAAAGGTTTTAATTCTTGTATTTTGAAATGTTTATAATTCTTATGGGTCATGTAAGGGATGTCCTTACCCTCAATGTATAATGGTTCTCACTGTTATAATTTATTTCTGAATGTTGTAGAGCAATGAAACATCACAAAGTAATTGTTGGAGTTTCTATAGATTGACAAACCTAATATTATTTAGCATTTTCGAGCAATATTGCTGCTTTTAAATACATCGAAATACATTCAGTGATTATACATAGTTCCTAAGTGAATTTTCTCAAACCTGCCTAATGACCTTGGACCAAGGTCCCTTTCATATACCAACTCCCTGATTCCTGGTCCTGCTTTAATGACGCAAGTAAAAAGTACAGTAAAGAAAATGCTTTGGTGAAAAAGTATTATGGATTTGGTGTTAGTGCCTTAATGAAGTTAAAACTGCTTGAGCAGCTGATCAACTGATTTGAATGTGGATAGGCCTACTGTTAAATAACATTTTTTTATGTATGAAATCGTCTTCGTTCATTCTCATACGTGACTTCGGAGCGTACTCCTAGTTTATTTAATTGAATAAGCTATTACCGTAGTACTCATGGTAAGAACTGGACCCGGGACCGATTTACTTTTCGTTTTGAGGTCCCTAGAGACCAAAAACACCATCCGTTCAAATTCATATTATTTATATACGTGTCGTTAGCGCGATAACTCGAGCAAAAATTTATATGCCTATATTTTTAGGCCTATAAGGAGTGATGCTTATGTTCACACGTTTGTTATTAAGATACTGTTATTAACATGGCAATAGGTTGGTCTCTAACGGCCAGGGTCTGAAAATATACAACATAGGCCCTAAGCCTAGGTGCCCAGAGCCTTACATGGTTCCTACAAAGACATTAGGCCTGATGTTAAGCCTATTCTTTTTAATCCAAAGCCAAAGTAATGCGAAATTCGAGATTATACATTGTGTTATGACTTCCAGGCTTGGATCAGCAGAAGATACAGTAAGTAGGCCTAGGCATAGGTTAAGTTAATTTGACAACTGGTCTAGATAATAAGACCAAACAATGATTTATCTTTTTAAACTATAAAATAATCAATAAACTGTGACTTACTCTTCGAGGAAATCCTGAAAAAGTTTCTGACATCTAACCCCAACCTCGTCTTTGACTCGTAGTTGCCCAGCTTGTGCGTCAGGAATATCCATTTTAAACCGAGACTAGAACCTAGACCGATGTAAATTTAATAGCAACGGAAAACTTGTTTAACTCAACCAAAGTACATAAACGGAAATTTGCAAAAGCTAAGGCTAAAAATAGTTATTTAAAGATTAACCTCGGTACCTATAGTTTAGTATGTTGGTATGGTTATGGTTATGGTTATGGAGACGAAGGTGGAAACTTATTCCCGCCAAAGCAACAAGTTTCCCTCCAGACAAAGAGCTGTTTCCAGTTTTTTATGTTTGTCCTCACTCAATAGGCTGCCTTAAATTTTAACCATGGGTTATAGGGTTAACTAACCATGTATGGAGTAAAAATATTTTTGTAAAGTTAATTTCATTTTGGTACAGCAATGTTGATCGTACAGTACATTGTATTCCCCCTAATTTGTTGTAGTTGGTATATTTAGCTAAGACACAAAAAATAGTTTAAAGAATTTTCAGCAGGAATGATATTTGGCGTAAAAGAATGTATGGGTACACATTTAATGGTAGGCTAATACATTTTGGTTTGTCGGTTTGTCATAATTGCCGCACTAAAAAAAACCCACCGACAAAAAAAAAACCCCGATTATGTGGGGTCTCTGTATGCGGGTAGGAGCATGCCGCAGTGGTCCTGAAAAAGTAGGTTTATGGATGGATGTGATAAGGTCTGGAGTGTTAATATTTTATTTATTTTATTACCTTTACCTTGAATGTGTGGATCCATCATTAAACTTTTATAGGGAAAATAATACACTAAAGAGAACTCTATTAATTAATTGATCACGTTATTATTATGTTCCTTAACGCATTACAGTTATTCTAAGTAGAATCAGAATCAGAAATATTTATTTGTCATTGGACATTACAAAAAATGCATTGACAATTGCCATGTATATAGCATGGCTACAGTCAGTAGCATCATGATAAAACATGTTTTATCTATGGTAGCATTAATTTTTTAACACATTTGACCAACTGTTTTCTTTAGTCACATTGATTTTACCTTATGTGAAATTCAATGTTGAACAACTCAGTTTATTTTTCACAAAATATTTCAATTACACGTGTATACCCACGTCCGCCTTTAACTCCTGGGGCCTGTTTCATAATAAACTACAAGTTTCAAGTTGTAACTTGTAATTTCCGTTAGATTTGCATTGGGCGATCAGCTGATTTACTAATAATATTAGTTTGTAATTTATTTTGTGGTTTGCAGTTTTGCCAACTTCTTGGTCCCAACTAAAAGTCTCCCTCACCTTAACCACGACCCCCATTAACTCCAGGCCGCAACCTTCGAAGTGGCAACATCGCCAGTGGGGTTGTAACAGCTGTTTTTGGAGGCAGCTAATGGTATTTGTGTACATATTTTGAGAATACGAAAGCTTGGTTACTGGGCTATGAAAATATTGAATCCCCTTAATAAAACGCGAATTAATGAGCTGGTGTCACCTGTCTGCCATGTTATCTTATGGTATGACTGGCGCTATATCATTGTTATATTTTCAAGTTGTCTTGTCACGCAATTCACTAGGTAAATGACCACGATATATTGATGTTCACCTTACATGATAAAATCATTAACGTTGTCACGGGAATTTCTTGATACTATGTTTAAAAGAGAACTTTGGTTGAACTAGGCAATGACACAATTCTATCCAGTACTGTATCTGAAAATAATCTGTATCTGTGTTGTTTTTTTTTATGGTTTTTTAAATCTGTCAGTTAATATCTGCAAAAGGGCTATTCTGAGTCCAACAAATATTTCAAAATTATCACAGAAATTAGCTTAAACAATTTAAAGTGATGATAATGTTTAAAACAATTATACGCAAATTAATGAGCTGGTGTCACCTGTCTGCCATGTTATCTTATGGTATATGTCTGGCGCTAGACAACACCCCTTGCAACGTTGCAAGTAGAGTTGTTTAGTGTCATACGTCCCATAAGATAACATGGCAGACAGGTGACAACAGCTCATTAATTCACACTTTATTTATTTAAATTTATGTTTATGAACATGAATTTATAAAAATATTGAAAATAAAACATTCTATACGCACATTTAAAGCGGAGTCGATATTTTTATAGTCCAGTAACCAAGCTTTCGTAAATAAACATTAACTGCTTCCAAACAAAACAGCTGTTACAACCCTACTTGCGATGTTGCCACTTTGAAGGCCACGACTGGAGTTAAAGGCGGCCGTAGTATATTAATCCAGAATTAAAAGTACTTAATTTAAATGAAAATCCCAAAGTTGTCTTTGTTTTGAGAACATGTTTAATATTATGTGTATACTCAATGATATTATGTAATGCTACAGAAAAACCAAATTGCCAATGTCATTGCGTTACCTTGCAAATTCAGTGTTAATATATAACAAATGCTAAACAAATACCATATTGCTATTATCATTGCATAGCCTTGCCAATTTAGTAGCAAATAACAAGCATCACGATTAATAAACCAAACTTTGAAATGCAACATTCTGTTCTAAATAAAAGTGTTATTGAGCGGAGCGAGCGAAGCGAGCGAAGCTCTCAACGTCGACTTTTATGCATTTCGTAATACGCAAACTCCTCCTAGACGGCTGATTCAATTGTTTTCAAATTTTGCATGGTGATAAAGACCATACCGGTGAGTGCCAACATCTATATGGCGTTAAAATACCCCCGCCGCAGCAAACCTGCCGACTAAGCGAATTTCCATTTGTCTGAATTGATTTTCAGTTAAATATATTTTAATAACATTAGGTTTAACGAGTACCTAGGTTTGCTGCTACAAGGAAACTAATAAAGTGTCTTTTTGAGTAAAATATTGATAGCTTAGTAGAAAATAAATAAATTTGCCAAGTTTGATCAAAATATATTCATAAACAAGCAAACTACAACATTTGACAATATTCTCCATAAGAATAACATGGGAATTTTAAATTAACAATTTTTTTTAATTTTCTCCGTTACTAATAATCGAACAAAAATACTTTCATATACTAAATTATTTGTTTTTTTAAGCTCTTTAAAAAGGTCTAAAGAGAAATTGGGAAATTTTGTGTTTTGAGGGTCAAAAGTGAGAAAAACCAATTTTTACCCCATAAAACCCCCCGTAAAGCCCCGTTCCCATGGTCCGATCATGCTGGTTCGCGAACTCATTCAAGTTTATCCACCGTGCCACCTACGGTAATAGCTACTTCCCTATAGGGAAATTCGCTAAAAGTCTCTCAGGAATCCGCCCCACTGGGTCTCAAAGTTTCAATGTACTCCTTATGGAAGCAGTATTTGACACATAAACAAAGACATATGATCAGCTGTTGACTTTTGAATGCAGTAGATAAATAAATAGCTGATAGCATTATTCCACAGATATTAGGACAGAAACGGTGGTTTGGATCATAAATATAATCAAATGACGACACTAGCTTGAGGTCCGTGACGTAGGAAGTGGTGAAGGAAATAGTAAAAGTGAGCAGTCTGGAGTGTGGAAACTGTTTAAGACGAATAGATTTAGGTAGGTATCTGCATTCCTAAAATTCTATGGGAAGAAAGGGAAATGGGTCCACGACGTAGGAAGTGGTGAAGGAAGTAGTCAAGGTGAGCTGTCCAGAGTGTGGAAACTGTTTATGACGATTATATTTAGGTATCTGCATTCCTAAAATTCTATGGTAAGGGAGGAAAACGGGTCCGTGACGTAGGCAGTGGTGAAGGAAGTAGTCAAGGCGAGCTGTCCTGAGTGTGGGAACTGTTTATGACGATTAGATTAAGGTATCTGCATTCCTAAAATTCTATGGGAAGGGAGGGAAACGGGTCCGCGACGTAGGAAGTGGTGAAGGAAGAAGTCAAGGTGAGCTGTCCGGAGTGTGGATACTGTTTAAGACAATTAGATTTAGGTAGGTATCTGCATTCCTAAAATTCTATGGGAAGGGAGGAAAACGGGTCCGTGACGTAGGCAGTGGTGAAGGAAGTAGTCAAGGCGAGCTGTCCGGAGTGTGGGAACTGTTTATGACGATTAGATTTAAGTATCTGCATTCCTAAAATTCAATGGGAAGGGAGGGAAATGGGTCCGCGACGTAGGAAGTGGTGAAGGAAGTAGTCAAGGTGAGCTGTCCGGAGTGCGGGAACTGTTTATGACGATTATATTAAAGTATCTGCAATCCTTAAATTCTATGGGAAGTGAGGGAAACAGGTCCGCGACGTAGGAAGTGGTGAAGGAAGTAGTAAAGGCGAGCTGTTCGGGGTATGGGATCTGTTTATGACCATTAGATTAAGGTATTTGCAATCCTAAAATGCTATGGAAAGGGAGGAAAACAGGTCCACGACGTAGGAAGTGGTGAAGGAAATAGTAAATGTGAGCTGTCCGGAGTGTGGAAACTGTTTATGACTATTAGATTAAGGTATCTACAATCCTAAAATGCTATGGAAAGGGAGGAAAATAGGTCTGCGATGTACGAAGTGGTGAAGGAAGTAGTCAAGGCGAGCTGTCCGGAGTGAGGGAACTGTTTATGACGATTTGATTAAGGTCTCTGCAATCCTTAAATCCTATGGAATGGGAGGGAATCAGGTCCGTGACGTAGGAAGGGGTGAAGGAAGTAGTAAAGGTGAGTTTTCCAGAGTGTTGGATCTGTTTATGACCAATAGATTAAGGTATTTTCAATCCAATAATGCTAAGGGAAGGGAGGTAAACAGGTCCGTGACTTAGGAAGTGGTGAAGGAAGTAGTAAATGCGAGTTGTCCGGAGTGTGGGATCTGTTTATGACCAATAGATTAAGGTATTTGCAATCCAATAATGCTAAGGGAAGGGAGGTAAGCAGGTCCGTGACGTAGGAAGAGATGAAGGAAGTAGTAATGGCGATTTTTTCGGAGTGTGGGAACTGTTTATGACGATTAGATTAAGGTATCTGCAATCTTAAAATTCTATGGGAAGAGAGGGAAACAGGTCTGCGACGTAAGAAGAGGTGAAGGAAGTAGTAAGGTGAGCAGTGTGGAGTTAGGGAACTGGAAACCGTTTGTAGCAGTTAGATTAATGTATCCGCAATGATAAAATGCTATGAGGAGGGATGGAAGCATTCCCACGACATAGAAAACGGAGAAAGAAGTAGTAAAGGCTAGCAGTGCGGAGTGTGGGCAATATTTGTGGCAATTTGATTAACTTTTCTAAAATACTAAAATGCTATGGAAAGTGATGAAAACAGGTCCACGATGTAGGAAGTGGCTTATATAGGTAGTAATAAAGTATGAACATATTTTGAGAACCGTCTGTGGCATTTAGAATAATGTATCTTCAATCCTAAAATACTATGAGAAGGGAAGGAAACAGGCCCCACGACGTAGGAATTGGTGAAGGAAGTAGTAAAGGCTGGCAGTGCAGATTGAGTGAACCGTTGGGCAGTTAGATAAATGTATCTAATACTTAAAATGCTATGAGAAGGGAAGGAAACAGGTCTATGACGTAGGAAATGGTGAAGGAAGTAGTAAGGCTAGCAGTGCAGAGTGTGGGAACTGTCTTTGGCAATTACATTAATGTATCTGCAAACCTAAAATGCTATGGGAAGAGAGGGAAACAGGTCCACGACGTAGGGGGTGGTAAAGGAAGTAGTAAAGGTGGGCAGTGCGGAGTGTTGAGTGTGGGAATGGATTAATGTATCTGCAATGCTAAAATGCTATGGGATGAGACTGGTTAAAATGATTATGAAGCACGAATCGTTACATATTTCGATACGTATTCAATAGTTTACAATATAAATTTACAACTAAGTTGACAAAAGCGACGATGACGAACGAATTTTATTCCTTACAGAGTAAAAATGCTACTTTAGACCCGCACCGCATGCATCAATGACGACTGTTTTTACTGCAGTATGACAAAAACAATATAATATGAACCCTTGATGACTCCGCTCAATTTTGTGGATGCATCTGCGAACGCCACCTAGTTTTTTAATAATAATTAATTGTTTTTAACATGTACACAGTAACAATTTATAGTACATTGCTCCCACAGTGATTGCTCCATTGCAGCCTTGCAATCTAACTGTTTATTCTAAACACCTTGGATTGAAAGATGACTGGCTTTTCTATTCAAATTTACTTCTTCTCCCTCTCCTTCTCCTACTTAAATTTCTGCAATTCAAAACCTAACCTCAACCTCGCTCTCAGCTCTCATTCACAAACACACACATTCTCTATTGTCTAATCTCAACTCAATCTCAATCTCACTATTTCCATTATTTCGTGAATTGTCGTCGATCGTTGTATCTATTAATTATTGTCAATAACTACCAAATATATAATTCGAAAATGAGTGACAGTAAAAATGATAAAGACAAACCTAAATCTGACTTGAGTTTGTTAGAAGAAGATGACGAATTTGAAGAATTTCCCGCTGAAAGTATGTACATTTTTAGTATGCCTAGCTCTCATTCTTTTATCACCTTCAAATTCAATTCAATACACAATTAACTCGTGTTGATTGTGTAAAATAGAAACGTTATTTAAAAACCACGAATTCAATGATATAGGCCTAGTTCAATCTGCAGTAGGCCTATTTTTTATTTTTAGTATTTTAGCCAATTTCCATAAACCTAGGTATAGGTATAGTGAAGTAGCTGTGTGTATCTTAGCTATTATCGTAGGTGGCACAGTAAGACCTAGGCCCGGGACCGATTTCCGTTTTCATGTTTTTTTACGTCCCCAGAAGCCAAGAACACCATCCGTTCAAAATGTTATAGGTATATAAGTATAAATAGGCCTACAGGGTGATTTTAAAGTCCCTTTCCACCTATTTTTTTAACAGTATAAGTCAGAGTACCTATTTAAACTTCACACATTTTTGTTTGATAGGTTACTTATTTAACATCTAATTATCTTGTTTTTCATGGGTTCATTGACTCACCACCTACTCCAATGGGGGACGGTCCTCGAGGAGTAAGCCAAGATTTTTATATATAAGCATCTAGGTTGACATGCAAATTAAATTAAAGATCTCTGTTAACTTATTATTATAGAATGCAATACCACAAGCCGGACTTGAAATAGACAACCAAGTCAAAAATGGCATCCATTCAAAGATGTCTTTTATCTGTCATTTTAAATCTTCAAACGGCTGCCATTTTTTAATCATTTGTTTTTTTTATCTCAAATTTGCAGCAATGTAATTTACTAAGTTAATAAACACCTTTAATTTTATGTGCATATCGACCTATGCTTAGGCCTATGTCCCACGACGCGATGCGCAGAGCGTCAAACGGCGGTGAAAATGCGTGGGCTGGAGCGCCTGTGCTTAGTAGCTCTATACGCAAGACCTGTCCCACGACGCACAACGCGGCTCGACGGCGTTACGTCATCTGGGGGCCGCAGTGGATAGTGTAGGCCTACAAGATAGAGACCTCCGTGCTACACTGTATTTGTATTGAAAGAAAGTATAAATATGCAAGAGCGACTTGCTGTCTCTTTAAGATTTCTTGACACTGGGGACAGCTATGTTAGTCTGTCATTTTTGTTCAGACAAACTGTTTCAAGATGTATCGATGAAGTTTGCACTGTGTTAAAGCCGGGCTTACATGATACCAGGTGAGACAATTGTCGCAAATCAAACCAAATCTCTTTATTGTCTTTAGCTCTACAAAAGCAATTGACATTGTCAAATAGCATCTTATCGTTAAAGCATTAAACATAGTCATGGAATAAATAACTGGAACCTTGATCTTAAATGATTTAAAAACATATCTAAAACCTCCAAGGACAAGAACTTATCTACAGAGTAAAAAGATTTTAATTTTAACCATGAATCAAGATCATTGAATTTTAATTTTTTTATAGGAATCATTACTGCAGAAGGAGGCAATTTATTAAAAAATTGTAGGCCTACCCCATACTAAGATATTTGTGTGTAAGTGTAAGTATTCTAAGTGGTAAGTTGAGATGGTGGCTATTTCTTGTGTAATGTGCATGTATGTGAAATCGGATGCTATACTCAGGGTGTCCACCTACCGGGAAAACCGGGAAATATGCGTGATTTTTTTGAACCGGGAATAATAATACAGTATAATACAGAATAATACAGTAATACTGGTCTATATTTTCTTTTACATCTAAAAACAATTTAAAATGTATAAAGATGGAAGGGTTAGGATATTTAAGGCCTTAAAATCAGCTTTGCAATTTCTTTGGAACCTCTTGTGGGCATGCATCTCATTCAGTCATGTCATGGGCTCAGGAGGAACTCAGGAAAAGATGGTTTAGGCTTCAGCTCCACAGGGTAAGTAAGCTCACCCTCTTCTCCCCTTCCCAGACGGTCGCCTCCAATGCTCTACGTTTAGACAGGAGGCAACTCAGACAGATCACAGGAATGGTCACTGGCCTTGGCTTCCTGAAATTGCACCTGCATCGCTTGAGGATCCATAATGGAGACACTGCGTGTAGAAAATTACTCTACGACTGCAGAGCTCTGAACGAGGTAAGGGACAGTACTCTTGGAGCAATGACAAGGGGCAGACACCTTCCTCAGGAGGAGCTCATAGATAGGATGCTGAAGTTCATTAAGCAAATCAGGTTTGACAGACTCTGAAGTAACATGTGAGGAGCGCAAAAAGCCCATCAGTGGCTGACGTGCAACAGGACAAGGTCCGCCCCTAGAGAATCAATCAATCAATCTGCTTTTCAATATTCCCTGGGATTTGTTCCTATAATGCACCTAACTGCTTTCCTTTGCCATTTGAAAACGGTTTTGAGTCCTACAGAGTTACCCCATAAGAGAACACCATATTGTAGGTGAGAATGGTAAATGCCTAAACAATTTAGAGTAATTTGTTCACTTGCAATGTTCTTTAATTTATTAAACGTAAATAGAGTTCAAGCCAATTTACTACATAAAAAGTTTAATGCTCACTCCAATTCAGCTTCTGATCAATATGGATTCCTAGCAATTATACTTCTTTATTGTCATTAGAATTTATTTTAATGTTAAAATGAATTTCTTCTGTTTTTGAGTTATTAATCCTTAATTAAATTCCTCGAAACCACTCTTCAGCCAACTTTAACACCTCATCCCATTCTTCAAGTGCTTTGTTCAGATTTTGACCACTTGTGAGGAATCTAGTATCATCAGCATAAAGAATGGTTTTACAGGGAACAAAACAAGGCAAATCATTAATAAAAACAATAAAAAGTAGAGGCCCAAGGACTGATCCTTGAGGTATGCCAATTTAGATTTTTAACATATTAGATCTTGAATTATTTATCTGCACCAGCTGGAAACGGTTCGCTAAATATGAGCTTAACGACTTAAATGATTTTTCAACTATTCCATAAGAAGCCAATTGTTTAATAAGAATTTCATGAGCGACTGAGTCAAAAGCTTTATAGCCAAATCAATTAATGTTGCAGACATATTAATTTTACCATCACAACCGTTAAAAATATCTGTGATCATGAAAGAATTGGGATTATAGATATCAGTCTGTAATTATTTGGATCAGTTTTTTCCCCTTTTTTTTTAAGATTGGTATTTTAACTGATATTTTAAGACATTCTGGAAAATTTTCTTGTTCAATCATCATATTATATAGAATGGCAAGACAACTGACTGGCATGAAATTATTGGCTTTGTGTAAACACTTCTGGCAGATTGCCTTGCTAACTGCCCTCACAGTTGCCCCGGAATTCAGTTGTCTACGGGAGTAGATTGAGGACAATGAGCTGCACCCAGAGAGGCCCCCCACCCCTCGAAAACCCAGTTGTCGCGACAATTTGTAAAACTTTGTAAACGGGGTAGACCAATAGCGCTCTCTTGTGTTTTGTCAGTACCGTAGTTCCCTAGTTCACTGTCAAATGCCTAGGCAATTGTTGGCCACGTGTGAACAGGTTCTTGTTCAACTTGACTGGCCTACGACAATTCCACAACCACGTGATGACAATTGTCTCGCCTACTTGCATTGTGTAGAGCCGGCTTAATTGAAGAACATAAAATGAAATAGGTAAAGGTAAACATTGTTCATCAGGTTGCTTTACTTTACAGGTTATAACTCTTACTTTTATGAAAGTTAAAAATTATAAACAATAATGTACGCTTTTAAAATACCTCTAAAATATTATTAATTGATAATGATGATAATGTTTTTTTAATGACTTTTAACAATAACATGTATAAATAAATAGGACTGGCCCAGGGTGGTCCTCCCTCCGACCCGCGCCTTTGATGTTTGACCAACGGGAACGGACCTGCAACCCCGCTCTGCGCCACTCTGGCACGTACCACCACTGGCATACTCTGTCTCAAAACACGAGGCGTGAGACGCCTCACGCTGTGCGCGCCGCGCAATGCGTTGTGGGAAAAGGGTTATGATTTTCTTCTGTCTACTAGCGGGTGCCTTTCTAAGGAGGTAGCGTATAATAGCATTGCAAATTTAATGAATCTTAGAACAGCTGTCATTTTTTACTTGATAGTCCATTTAAAGTCTGAATTGCAGCATTGTTTTAAGTTCAACAAGACCTTTAATTCGATGTACATATGAACCTATGCTTACCTTTAAAATTTTCAACTTCGGCTACTCCTCGTGGGCCATCCCCCATAGGTGAGATATGATCACCATGTACACAAAAAATAGCTTAGCCTAGGCCTACTATTAACAGTAATGATATGCCAACTACTACAGGGTGACAATTAAGTCTTAGGACGACTTTATAACTTAAAATCTTACAAATATATCTCAACCACACTTAGCATATCATTACTGGTAATAGTAAGCTACTTTGTTGTGTCAGATATGACTTATGGGGTATAGCCCGTAGGGAGCAAGTTGAAAATCTTTAAAGTAAGCATAGGTTGATGTGTACATCAAATTAAAGGTCTTGTTGAACTAAATACAATACTGCAAACAGTACCTCAAATGGACAATCGAGTCAAAAATGTCAGCTGTTCAAAGATTCATTGAATTTGAAATGTCTTATGTCTAATTTGAAATGCAATAATTATAGGCTATCTCCTCAGGAGGCCCGCTAGAAGACGGAAAAAAATCATAAACGTAAGCAAATGTCAATATGCACATCAAATTTAAGGTATTTATTAGTAGAATACAATGCAAAAAATTTGAGTCCAAAAGAACAACTGAGTAAAAAATGGCATCTGTTCAAAGATAAAAATGGCTGATTCAAGAAATCTTTAAACGCTGCCATTTTTTAAAAACAAGGTCCGGTTTGCGGCATTGGTTTTAAATAAAAAAGACCTTAAATTTGATGTACATATTAACCTATGCTTACCTTTAAGGTTTTAAACTAACTTAATCCCTATGGGCTGTCCCCTATAGATGCCATCCCATAACCATTTAATGACATGCCAAATTTGGTTGTGATATCTCTTAGCTTTAAAGTTATAAAGTTGTCCTAAGACTTAATTGTCCCTGTATATGCAGCTAGCAAAGTTGCAAAGTTATTTAAATGCTAAGATTAATATTTCTTTTCGTATGCTTAACAGATTGGACAGGGAAAGATGAAGACGATGCTGATATGAATGTTTGGGAAGATAATTGGGATGATGACAATGTGGAAGACGACTTCAATGTTCAGCTGAGGTTAGTCAACATTTGTCAATTAACTGTTAAAAGAGCATAACATCAGATCTTATGCTTAGGATCTATGTTTTGTTAGGTAATGGTCGTTGCAGTATGTGTTGGTCCGTTGAAAGCTTCCAGTAACGATTGAAAGGCCTTTGATTTAATCATGAGAACGTTAGCTGGTGGAATTTTTATGGTTGGGATTTACATTAGCCCTAGGTGATCCTACTAGACAGTAATAAAGTTACTATATCAAAATTCAACACTCATCCTTCACATCAAATTACACTCATGTGTTGGTTGTGCTCGAGGTCCCCCCATAAGACCCAACCTTTACAACATTTTTTAGATCATGCAGTATAAACATACCGTACAATTTATTAAATCACACATTTGTCAAAGAAGTTTAGGTATGAATTGCAACAAATAAAATACTTTGGAGTTGGACCTAAGTTTTTAACTATTTTCCAGGGGAGGCCCTTGGAACCCCCCATTTAAGAGGAGTAATTAAGTACCCCTCCAGACTCCCTCTAAATATTGAAAAGTTAGATTTTTTATAGTCCAATGGTACCGTACTTACTGTCGGGACCACGTAAGTTTGCAGTTGAGGGAGGAGCCTATTTACCATATGGTTTTGGATGAACCAATGAGAACCGTGCGGTGTTGCCAAATCTAATAATACCAGCTGATTTTAAAATATTGCTTAGTATATTTTAATTAGTGTTGTCAATGGGCGATGTGGCAACGTCGCACTAGCCTTGTCTTGTGATTGGCTGCCACCAACTGCAAACTTACGTGGTCCCGACAATAGTGTTATTTTTTATTTGTTGTGTATACTTGAGATATTTTTGACGTGACAGTAGTAGTCCAGGAGCAAACTGCACATATCCAGCTTCCGTGGGATTTTTTGTGAAGGGAATGTGTGACTATGTGGAATCTCTTTATTATATGTCACATGATGGTGTAGTACCGGGTGTTTACCCTCAAATTGCGGGGTTTGGTTTTTATGACGTCTTAAATCCAAGATGGCCGCCATGTGTGACATGTATTCATTAAATTGATAATAACTCTTTCCAGGGCAAAATAATCGAATTTTAATTTATACCATTGAATTCAGCTCAAAAAATCAAACAATTTGGTGTTTTGAATCATTGCTCTATGACCATTGGTTACCGAGATATTGAAGGCGGAAAACACAGAACATTGTCCCCAAGCAAGACCCCACTACACCCATGTTATCCTTATGGGGAAAAAATAAAATTGTATATCTAGCTTATTACTCAGCATATCTTAATAATAATTGGTATGTGGCTTCATTTAGTAGAGATCTACTTGATTATGGCCTAAAATCCCCCATTTTTACATTTCCGTGGCAGCAAACCTGCATACTCACTTCCCATGGTATTCTTATGGTCAATATTTTTGCATGCTTGTCCATGAACATACTTTGAGAAATGATGATGTGTGGCTCCATTTTAATTATTTATTGAAGCATTTGCAATTCGTTGAGTATACAGGTCTGCTGCTACGGGGGTATTGTAGCAATAAAAAAATCTCACAAATGATAGGTATAAAATAAAATAAAATAGACTATAGTTCTGGGTCATATGTAATTTCTTGTGATTTTGTATTAAGAAATTGTATGATTGTTGGTGATACCCAGATAGGTAATGACATATAGAATCGTGTACTACCGGGTGTTTTATCTGAAAGTGTGGCCTAGCTAGTGTTTTTGGCCCGCCGTCTTGGATCCACCATATTTAATATTAATATAGAAATTTTTAAATCTAATGCTGGTGTTGTGACTCACTATTATAAACTAGATGTTTACGCTAATTTCAATTCCGAAAACCGTTTGTAAATATAGTTTTTCGTTTCGAAGATATATTTAAATGAAAGATCCCTCCATACTATTCTTGAGGACGTTTCGTACTTTGATTATTTTTCAGATTATTTTTCTCATATATCCAGTTCTTAGTAATTCGTTCTAGTCTTAAAGTATTCAGTGATGTAAGAGCTTTTATTTAAGCTATCGATCATTAAAATCGGACGAGTTAGAGTTGAGCTATAAACCACAACACAATATTAAATTTAACTTTTTCCAAATCAGTTTTTATTAAAAGATTTATATCTCGGGTTGTTAATACGTCAAAGGGTTAATTCTAGTCTCAAATTACTTAGTAAATGTTTGGTTTATAATTTTATTAATCAGTAAATGAAATCTGACTAATTGAAAATTAATCATGGACCTTTATTTAACATTAATAATTATTTTATTTTGAAATTTGTCTTTGGTTATTGTAAAGCAATTAAAGACATACAGGGCTGGTCATCAGACAACATTTGTTTGGTGTAAGTACAAATTAAATTATGTGTGATGAGGCATATAAGACATATAAGGCATATAAGAGGTTCCACGTCCAAAAATTGTAACACTGATGACCTTGCGAAACGTCCGTAAGAAATGTATGAAGGAGAGTTTTTATTTGAATATCTCTTCCAAACGAAAAAGATATTTAAAAACATATTTCAGCATTGATATCAGCGTGAAAATCTAGTTCATAATGATGTGTCACAACACTAGCATTGCATAAAAAAAGTTATTAATATCCAATATGGCAGATCCAAGATGGCGGCCGAAAACACCAGCTTGGCCACACTTTTAGTCATGTCATTACCTACCTATTGCCAACAATAATACAATTGCTTAATTCAAAGTCCTACAAAATTACATATGCCTCACAACTATAATCTAATTTATTTCATTTCCTAATACCTGTAATTTGTTTATAGCTACAATACCCCCGTAGCAGCAGACCAGTATACTCAACGAATTGCAAATTCTTCAATAAATAATTAAAATGGGGCCACACATTAACATTTCTCAACACGTGTGTTCATAAACAAACATGCAAAACGTTTTCCATAAGAATAACATGGGAAGTGAGTATGCAGGTTTGCTGCCACGGAAATGTAAAAATGGGGGAATTTAGGCCATAATCAAGTAGATCTCTACTAAATGAAGCCACATACCAATTATTATTAAGATATGCTGACTAATAAGCTAGATATACAATTTTATTTTTTCCCCATAAGGATAACATGGGGGTAGTGGGGTCTTGCTTGGGGACAATGTTCTGTGTTTTCCGCCTTCAATATCTCGGTAACCAATGGTCATAGAGCAATGATTCAAAACACCAAATTGTTTGATTTTTTGAGCTGAATTCAATGGTATAAATTAAAATTCGATTATTTTGCCCTGGAAAGAGTTATTATCAATTTAATGAATACATGTCACACATGGCGGCCATCTTGGATTTAAGACGTCATAAAAACCAAACCCCGCAATTTGAGGGTAAACACCCGGTACTACACCATTATGTGACATATAATAAAGAGATTCCACATAGTCACACATTCCCTTCACAAAAAATCCCACGGAAAACAGTTTGCCCCCGACTATAGTGGATATTTTTGAATTCATATTTTCTTCCATAGTTGTCAAACAAACTCTTCACTTGAGTTTGTTTACAAAACAGCTGATTCCTCAATACCAATAGTTTGCAAAACAGCTTTCTTCTTTCTTCTTGATGGCTTTGGATATAATACACTTTTTATTTACTTTGCCCACCTCTTTGCTCACTCTGAATGGCAGCTAAACCAAAAATATAATAGGCCCAGCTTACCAGTGAATGAACATTTTACTACAACAGTGCTACAATAGTTATTTGTGTAACTAGTGTGCAAGGCACTTAGCACTTGCGTTACACATTATATTTTCCCTACAGTTACTATTATAAAGCATATAAATAATTAGTCTTTCAAACACTATACAACACACTTTTATGTTAGATTAAATCCAGCAGATCACAGTCATAGTATCTTTAAGTGTTGCCAACTTATTTTCAAGCGTAGTGCATAATAAAAGCACACTGTTTGGTTGGAATACTGGAATGTGACAAAAAATTAGTGTGCAAAAGTAAGTAAATGCAGCAATTAGCTACTTTGCGTGCTATATTCAGTGCAAGGAAGCCCACTTTGTTAGGTAACTGAAGGAATTTTTTTTTACTCACCGCTCAGTAACAACTGTAGCCATAGACAAACTATAATGTGCAATTTGTGTACAATAGTTATTTGTGTAACTAGTGGTGAAAGTGGCACTTTGCTGCACACGAGAGCAATGTTTACGAATGATGTTTAGGAATGATCTCGAGTGCAGCAAAGGCCTTTTTCACTCGTGTTACACATTATATTTTTCCTACAGTCACTATAAAGCATATAAATAATTAGTCTTTCAAACACTATACAACACGTTTTTAGGTTCAGCTGGCAACACAAATGGTGCCTTAAAGAAAGTAGTACCCGCGGTCCGTATCACTCCGCTATTTTTCCTCGGCAAGAAATGTGCTCCACGTTTTGAGAATATAGTTCCGTATGTTTTTGTAATTTGAAGTGGTTTCCGCGCCTAAAAAAATGCTTTAAAGGTATTTTCTTGTTTATTAAGATCGTAGGAACGTTTTAAAAACGTTTAAAAGAAAAGTCCAGAAAGTTCAGAAATACCGAAACTATAAACACGAAATGACAGGTTAAATCGTAGTTATAATAGTCAATCAGCTGCTCATAGTATTATTATCTTTAAGTGTTGCCAACCTATTTCCAAGCTTACACGGATTACGTGCATAATAGAACCACGCTGTTTTGTGTTGTTTCGTTGGAATCCTGATGTGCGGCAAAGTATAAACCGTACGGCAAAGTATAAACCGTACGGCAAAGTATAAATATGCAGCAATTAGCAGCTTTCTGTACTATAAACAGTACAAGGAAGCCAACTTTGTCGGGTGACTGTAGGAAAAATGTATTTTTCAAACTAGATAAAATTGACATACGAGGCTTGATCTTGATTGTCAAAATTTTCTCTCATTTAAAATAGAGCCAGTTTGGCCCCTAGTTGCACAAATAACTATTGTCTGTCAGTGATGTATAGTTTTTAAACATGTGTTCATTAATTAATTGTTTATGTTTACCAATTTTGTAAATAGAATGGATTGAGTAAAATATTGTTTCTTTTGAGTTGAATCTAATTATTATACAATAAATGGCGACGAGGATGATAGAAATAGGAAATATAAAAAAGTTGAGATCAGATGCAAAAGGGCAAATTTCCAAAGCCTTTAAACTAGTTGTAGAAAATAAATCAACTGATAAAATGACAAGTGCAGAGATAGATGTGAGGTTAGACAGTTTAAGATCGTATTGGAAACAATTTGAAGATGCTCAAACCAAAATTGAACTAGCCACTGAAGATGAAGAACAAGATGATCTAGCCTCGTATAGAAGTGAGACAGAAGAAAAGCTGTCCACACTCATACGTCACCTTCCTCACTTTCTAGATACCTAATTGGATGAAGACGACGCTATCATGATAGGAGGGATGGTGCGGCATATTTAGTGTTAATAGAAGTTCCAAAACGTAAGAAATTATGTCGGACAATGTAGATAAAGAAGTACTATAATAATACTCAAAAATTATTTCATTTCATTCTTATTTAATGTAATCTCCATTATTTTTTTATTACTCCGTATGTCGCTTGGGGTAGCCACAGGTGTGGCGAGGTCACGCGTCTGACAGGACTTTTTACAGACATACATTTAGTTTCTCAGAGTGAATAAGTAAAGAAGCTGAACTATTTATTTTACTTTTACTTAAGCGTCGTAAACGTAGACGAAACAAAAGTATTGGGAAGCAATCCGTTACTAAAAGTAAGACCTTCAGAGAGTAAGACTTTTCAGTTTTTGTATGATGATTTCAGAGATGACGACTAGATGTATTTTGGTTGTTTCCGGGAGTCGAGACGTTCTTTTTATAACCTTTTAGGAAGAATATAAGGCGACTTAACCGTATCGCATAAGAAATTGAATATTTTTTTCAGCTAAGGAGAGGCAAGCACTTACCTTAAAATAAATATTATAATGGTTTTGACTTGATTTAATCATAATATTAATATAATATCAGCAGCAAAACTCAGCGTTGCCCGGGTCAACATAGTATTAACAATAATGGTTATAATTTAGTAATACAGACATTATCTTGAACTTAACTGATTCAAATGGTCAACATCTCAAATGAAAGCCTTTGTTTTGAGGGGTAGTCATATTTTAAGACCAAGACATGTAGAATAACTAAAAATGGAGTTACGGATCATTGATTTTAGATAAGTGTTAAAATAATAATTATTATTGTTGATTCGTGATTCAGTAGCGTGCTTCACGTACGTCGGATCTTAATAATTAATAGCCCAAAATTATAGCCGGCATTTTACTGAATGTTTTTAGACCAAAACATATAGGATATAGGATCATGTAATCAGAACTGGCGAAATACGGCTTATTTAATTGAAGTAAGGATTTTTAAAAAATATGGGATTTATTTTTTTGGTCGAGTAATACAGTAGATACATGAATGATGATGCTTGGTGGAAAATCTGTTCGTGAATACCTTTAATTTAAGACCAAAATTATGAAAATTGGTCAGGTAGAAGAGCCGAACCGACTCGGAAAAGAAAAACAATATTTATTAATATATAGATAATATAATTAATATAATAAAATGTTGAAACAAAAATCAGGACTGAGGCGAGGGCAGAGAGTTGGGGTGCGCTGTTGCCCGCGATGATAACAGCGTATGATAACATGGCCCGCTGGTGACGCAACAGTCGCGTGGGCTCGCGACTAGTAAAGAGGGTGCGCGACTGTTGCGTGCCTTGCCACCGCAGTCGCGTCGCTTAATAAGCTCCATATGATAAAATAGCCCACTGAAAGTGGCCTTTGAGCAGTCACGGTCGTGCGCCACTCGAGTGCCCGCGCATAATAAGGCTCTTAATATTGGGAAAGCTAGTGCTTATTTATCATTTTTGAATTGACGATGTTTTTTGGGCTTGCAATTTTTCATATATAATTTTTTCCAGGGCGGAGTTGGAGAAGCAAAATGCCAAGCCGCAGAAGTAGCTACTAGATTTTGAAATTACTGTTTGATAATCAATATATTTGGTTTCTATAATTCATCCATAATGATCTTATAGTAACGGTTTTTGTGTTTATTGTTTGCCCTTAAGTAATTCTCAGTTTAAAGATAACCATTGTTTGTAATTTTTATTTCTAAGAAATATGTAAAGAAATTTGTATAATAATTTGTTGTGTTATTTTCTTTATTGTTCCCATAGTTTTAAACAAAATACTTTTTCTTCCTGCTTTGTAAAAAGCAATTGTTTCAAAACAACTGATACCCTTTGCTGCTCTGGTTCTACCTCCCTGTACAAAACAGAATTTAAACCCAAAAATACAAAAAGATAAGAACATAACAGTCAGGATGTCTCTAAGTTACATGAAAAAAAGTTCACAATCCTGACTGTACAGTAAATACTGTACATTAACTGGTTAAAGGGTTTATGTTTTGAATACAATGCCAATAACATAACCCTAATACAGGGTGGCGCAGATTGATCGGGTGGTTTTAAACTTGTCAAACTGTCAATTTTAAAGGTATTGGATTGAAACAAAGTCAATTTTATTTTTCAGATTTTATTTTAGTTCCTTAATACATTTAAACAGACCAATGCATCTGCAACTACGCATGCAACTTAACGATTGCAATACAAAAACACCAATAAACAATAACAATGGTATATAAAAATCTCTTGTGTTTACTATTTTGTATTTTTTAAAGTGCAGTCAAACCCCAACAGTCAAAGAAGAAATTTCAAAATTAAGTGCCAAATACTTAAAGAAATTAGAGTACCATCCTAACTACCTTGCTTTAAATTTATTGGACAACAGCAACTATACATACAAAACTTTGTACCAAATATCACAGAAAACGTACTACTATAACCCAGAATGCCAACCGCATGGTAAAAAGCATTAAGCGGTTTGAGAGAGCTTTGCCTGTCAATCCGTAGGCAGCGCCACCAGCGTTGCTATGCTATTGCACTACATCAGAACTTATGTTTAGAAACAAAGTAAAAAAATCTGTTGCTCGAATTCGAGCAATTGCTAAGTATTACATGTATTATTTTAAAATTAATAACAGACATAATTTCTGATGACTTTAAGATATTCGACTCAAAGATTATAGAAATACTCAAGATGTACATAACAGACCGATATAATCAACATTTATTGTTAATAGTGTTTTCTACAAATAGCCTTACTCATAGCCGCATTAGGTTTCCATACACATTATGTGATGGTCCAAAAGCCTAACAGCAAGACTCCCTTCCCCATACGGCCCTGAGCGATAGGGATCATTGAGATTCGCTCTAACCTTTCCTCTCCCCTTCATGGGCAAGTTTTCATTCATTTTCTTTCTTAGTTTTTGTTTGTTTCTTTTTTTAAATTTTAACGCCTTTATGTCTTGCTTTTGACACTTATAATAATCTTATATAAAATTCTCGTGTCACAGTGTTTGTCTGCAAACTCCTCCGGAACGACTTCACCGATTGTTATGAAATTTGGTGTGTAAATTCTGTAGGTATGCGAATCGGACGTAAACTATTTCCCGTTTCGAAATTCTTAAAAGGGCTCCGCCCCAGTGGCTCTGGAGTTTCCCATGTTAACCTTATGAGAAATGGAATTAATGAATCTTAACAGCTGTTTCAATTAAACAAGTTGGTTCTGTTCAATGACGTTCAATAGTGTGACGGTCCCAAAAATTCCCAGACCCATTACATATCAGTTGGGGAGGTTTTGTGTTACACCCTCAGGAAACCCTGTCTTTACCGTCACAGAAGCTTTGCTTTATTTCAAATATAAAAAGAGGGTATTTAATATTGGACTGTTAACCTCCCAGCTTTTTGCGTCAACCAGTTGCCTCACCATGGAATATTCCGTCAGCGTGGCTCAGCGCTGGGTCGGGCCAACGTTCTCGGAAAGTGTAACGCGCATGGCTGGAATTTGCTGATACAGCTCAGCAAGTCACTCGATGAAATCAGTTAATGCGCAGCTATAGTTTGCCTAATGCCTTGATGAATCGTTAGGCAGCAGCACTGTCTGGGGCTTGCACTGACGTCACGCGGCATAGCCGCAACGCGATTGGCTGGTTCCCCTCCACGCCCAACTCTGGGCTACGGGCAGAGCGCACTCAGTTCAGTTAGTCTAAATTCTAAATCCAATTCAATCGGTCATGTAAATTCCGCGTCGCGTCGCCTTTCCCCATAGCCTCCTCGGGAGGCTATGTCCCCCAATAACTTATTTGTGTTGTAAACTAAATTTATAGGATTATACAGCAAGTCGGAAGCTAAACACTTCACTATTGTTTTTATCATAAATTAAGTAAATAAATTATTATTCGTTGTGCATTTTCGTTGTTTCATTCGGCTACCTGTCACATTTGGTGTCAGGTGTGGGGTTAGGTTCAAGAGTCCTAAATTAATTGGCTATTTAATTATTATCGCGCAATCAATTACTTAGTCAGAAATCATAATTTCGTTGTAATTCCCTGTCGCGACTCGCTCAGTCTGTTTCAGTTCTGCTCCCGTCGTTTTACGTGTTTTAATTCGTTTCGCTCCCACTGCGACTGCAATGAGTCGTCGTCGTCTGCAGTTTAAAACTTCGAACTTCAGAGACTTCGATCGACTTCAGCTTCTGGCGTCTGCTCTGTTGCGGAAAGGTTAGATGTGCGTAAAAAGGTCAGGTGAGTTTATAAATTAACTAACTGGCTTGAATAGTTTTATTTGTTTTTCAAAAATATTTAATTGGGAAGCTTACCAAGGCTAAAGTTTTTCTTAAATAGTTAATTTGTTGTGTAATCAAGGGGTGAAATAATTGAAGTTGTTGGCTTAAGTAGGATAGGCCTTACGTTGTTCCTGTGATTACTGTCTGAGCTTAAGTTAACAGTTGACTAGGCTAATTTTTTTGATGGTTTAACCTAGTAGCCTATTCCTGTAAAGTTTAGGCCGTGCCTTGGTGAAGTTTAACTTATTGGGGGAAGGCGGAATAATTAGATTTAATTGGAAAAATTAATTGGAGATAAACTAAGTTAAGTTTTGGTAACTCGTATTAAGTTAGGCTATGAATATTTCAGTTAAGTGTTCAGAGAAGCTGAGGCAATAATTTTGACTTAAGGAATTGTTTTCTATTATAATGACTGACCGTGAACTTAAATTATTTTGATTAATGCCTACCGGTACAGCTAAAATTATAATAAATTAATGTTGGAATATAGCCTTAGCCTAAGGTAAGAGTAAGTTAAAGGAAAGTAGGGAACATTTTAACTAATTATCGTGGAATATGTAATTTTGAAGCTTACTTAAGAACTTTTGAAGTGTATGGTTACTCGTAAAACTAAATTTATTTTAGCTGCGTTCCAATGATGGCCGTCATGTAGGCCTAGCCTACTGTGGCAGGACATGTTCAGATTCTATGTGGTTAGCTTGTTCATTTTAAACTGTTTAAGGTACAGTAACATATTTTGTTATTCGGGACAGCTCATTGGGTCGTTCAGTAAACGCCAGTGACTGTTGAATGTCCTTTGAAGTGGTCAATAAATAGAATTATGAAACAGAATATAATTACTGTTGTCTTTGAATGATTAGCAGTGTAGTCCATGGGAATTATTGATTAAAAAATTATTAGTTTAAATGATGTCAGCATTACTGGCCTACTGACGGGCTTGAAGGTTGGGAAATGCCTTGTCTCTTTTGACATAATTTTGTTCTCTAAAGACTTGCCTTCTCACCTCAAAGCCATCCGGGATGTTGCTTGCCTCTGTATTGATGCCTTGCCATTTCACTCGGGTATGGAAAATAAAGTAGGCCTAAGTAGAAAAAAATTTGTTTTTTCCGTGATGACTGTGCACGTTTATAAATAAATTACTTTTAAAGTAAGGATATCTAGAAGATGGTTTATTGTGATATTTTAGGTACGGTAGCTGAATAAATTCCAACTTTTCTTTTACCAGACTTAACAAGTTTTGTGGAACGCAGCGAGAAATAATTTGAGTTTGTATGATTCGTAATGTGATTTGGTCTCTAAAATTTGTGTATATTATGTAAAGTGGACAACCAATGAGTAACAAGTAAAAAAAAGTAAAAACGAAAAACGTAAAAAAAATTGAAGCAACCCTTGGGGTTTTGCTAGAAACTTGGGTTAGCGTGTAAAGGCCGCGGCGTGGGCCAACAAACCTAGCCGCGATTTGTTAAGATATTACGTGATTCAGCAGGTGCTCTGTTGGAACTGTTAGGGGTTCGCAGACCCTCTGATGAGACGTCGGTGTGTACACAAAGTAGGTGTGCAATGTGGAAGGACTAAAAAGAGGAGTTTAAATGTTTTTTTTTGTGTAGGTATCCAGGAGAGGGATTAATTTTTGAGTTTTTTTTAAGCATTGCAAGAGGTTTTTACCATTCGTTAAACGCTTGGTCCAAGTCTGAGTGAGTATACTGAGTAATTAGAGATGTTTGTGTTTAGTTGCCATTCCTTTTTTTTTCATACTGAAATAATGTATTGATCTTTATTTATTTACATTGGAATAATTAGAAATTGGTTATCGGATTTATAAATAAAAACCGAAATTTGAAGAACTGTTGTTTAGCTGCTATCATCAGCTAGCACTATTGAATGATTGAAGTCAGTTCAAAACTCATATGTAATGTTACAGAGGTAAACTATTAATTTGATAGTTTTGACTCACGAGCTGAAAATATAAATTTGTAATTCATTCCGTATTTGTAAAAAAAAAAATAATAATAAATTGTTTTTGAGATGAATTGCTTTTATCTACAGAAGAAACATTAGTTTCCGATATGTTGAGTTTCTAATGAGCCGAGGGAAATGTCACAATTTTCTCACAATGTGTGTTCGGTATGGGGGAAGATTTGGAGTGTATCTTCTTTTGCTCCTGCTTTGGACAGGACCTTAACCTAAATAAATCCGGTACGGTAACATTTGTGATTAAGCCGTGGCTAACCCCTCGCCAGAGGATTCTGTGGTGTATAGTTAGAAGAATACAAATACCGTTGTCCTTGTTTCTTGTTAAGGGAAAATAAATCAAGCAATGCTGATGATAGTAGGAGGAAAATGTTTTTTTTATAAAAATTCAATGCTGGAGGTGAATTAGTAGCCTACCAATATATTGATGTGCATAGGATAACCCTTTTTTTGTTTGTTATACAGCCTACAGTTTTGTATAGGAGTG